AGCAACATTTTTCTTTTTGCTCTGACAGTGGCTAATTGGGCTGTGTTGGTGGAGACAACTTTAAAGACTAGCAGGGGGCAGGCAGGAGCCGTGTGGGATGTCCTGAAGAGGGGGTTACCTTCGCTGCAGCTCTCCGGTTGCCAGCGCTTGTGGGCACCTGGGGAATAGTAGCACATGACGAGGCCGGAGCTCTAAGGAGAGGGTGCTGCTGAGAGAGGAGTCAGACCCACTCACAGTAGGTAGGGTAGGGGCCCCAAAGGGAAGTCACTGTGGTTTTCTTCTTAATGAAGTCTCTGTGTTTTCCCTCTATGGCTGATTAATGTACAACGTAGCCCCTTTGACATGTCTCTAAAGAACGTATGACTCCCTGCTAATAAGGCAGGAGATAGGGACCTGGAACACACAGGGTAAGGCCAAGATGGAGTCACAGTGGAGAAGCTGTCACACGCAAAAGCTGGCTGCCTGTGACAAAAGGGCCGCAGTTCCTCTCAGTAACTGTATTCTGTCAAGTGCAGACCGCGATGGTCTGGGACCCACGAAGACCAGGGTAATCTATGCTCAGACCACCATGTCTTCCTCATCAGAGAGCCGGCCCATTGGGCTGCAAAATAAAAGCCCTCACCTCCAGCTCGGCTTCGGCAACCCAGACCCCTTCCCGCCTCAGAACTCTACTTTTCCTCCTCTCTTTTTTCTTTTCTTTTTAGAGAGAGATTTTTGCTGTAAGGAGTCCGTTCCCTGGTGAGACAGAGAGAGAGAAAGTGAGAAATCACCTTGGGGTGGGGAATGACCCACGCCACAATCCCTTCTCCATTCGCCTCTTGAGGTTTTGGGCATGTGTACACACAAGCCTGGTGTAATTTTCAAGCTGCTAGGTTGCACACACGCCTGGTGTAATTTTCAAGCTGCCAGGTCGGACTCAAACCACAGTCAACCACATGGGGGTCCAGCACCTTAACCACTATGCCACCTGCTGGCCTCTTCCTTTCCTCTCAAGAAACTCCCCTTTCCTCCTCTGTAGGCATCTCTAACTCTTTGAGCGTTGGACAAACACCAGCACAGGTGTCAGGTCGGATCACCCAGCACTGCCACATCACAGGGAGTCTGGGCCTTGGGAAAAGCTCTAATGGTGCTCTCCCAAGGGCAGCCTGACTCCGACCTGCTGGCAGAGGATCCGGCTCAGTCAGATAGTAGGATGCAGGCTTCTCACTGCCCAAGCAGCCTGGCAGCCAGTCAACAGTCAAGTCTGTAGGCGTCTGCTCTGGGCAAAGCACTTTTTAGGCACCGGGAAGGACACAGATGACACAAACACAGCTGCAAGGAACACAGAACCTGGCTGTCAGCTGGAAACTGAGCCGCAAGTTCTTCCTCTGTACAGTGGAGATTAAAATAGCATCTCCCCATAAAACCGGGGTGAGCATTACATGAAATGTTGCAAGAAAAACAGCACAAAGCAGACTGAGTCTGCATACAAATCATTCTGTGTGCATTTATAAGTTTCCAACACACTGCATGTGTTTATATAGGTAAAATTCAAAGTTCAGAGAGTGACTGGAAAAGTAAAAGACTAATTATAGATGGCAACGGCCTTGAATAATTTTTAAAAAATGTTTAGATATTGGGGCCAGCAGGTGGCATGGTGGTTAAAGATGCTGGATTCCCACATGGCTGACTACAGTTCAAGTCCCAGACCTGGTGGTTTGCTTTCTCACTTTCTCTCCCTCTCTCCCTCTGTCTCTCTGTCCTTCTCTAATCAAATTAAAAATAAAGTTAAATAAAATAATTAAAAAAAAAGTTTAGATATTTTTGGA